TACACAGTTGTAGAAAAAAAAAAAAAAAAAACTATTTAAGAAATGAAAGCTCTTGTGGAGTAAGGGTGAAGGCAATACCTTCAGCAAAGAAGCTCCCCTTCTAAGTACTATCCTTCTGTTTCTCTTAGGAAAGAGGGGCATGGGGCACATTCAGGTTAAGCACAGTGTCATAGTGAACATTTGAGAACCCAGAAGAGGTAAGAGTTGAGGGAAAAGAAAAAAAATGGTAAGACTACTGTCCTAGTCATCTAGGCTGCTACAACAGAAATACCACAAGCAACAGAAAGAAGTTCACTCTCCCACAGTCCAGTAGGCTACAAGTCCAAATCCAGGGCATAAGCTCCCGGGGAACGCCTTCTCTGTTGGCTCTGGAGGAAGGTCCATGTCATCAATCCTCCCTCTGTCCAGGAGCCTCCCTGGGCAGAAACCTTAGGTCCGAAGGACACTCTCTACTCCTGGCACTGACCCCCTGGTGACATGAGGTTCCCCTGTCTCTCTGCTCGCTTCTTTCTTTTATATCTCAAAAGAGACCAGCTCAAGATACTCGTAGACCTTGTCAATATAACTGCAACTAATCCATCTTATTACGTCATAGTGATAGCATTTACAACATAAGGAAATCACATCAGATGACAAAATGGTAGACAATCATGCAATACTGGGAATCATGACCTAGCCAAGTTGACAGATATTTTTGGGGGACAAAGTTCAATCCATGACAACCACTATTTTCAGTGCCAAATGAATTTTACTGGGGCGGGGGGCGGGGGCAGTTTCTTCCTTTATATCTCTTACCAATCAAATCAACGTTTTAGTTATTACATTTTGTCAAATGAAGTCAGAGAAGCAAGAACACATTTTGGTCAAGTAATTATAATGCAATATGTCTAAGTTTCAGTTTACAGGAAAAAAGAGAACGTGGAAAACCAAATGGTCTGAACCTGGTAGGCAGGTCACCAACTGGGACCTGAGAATGGCTATTTCAACTCTAGGTCTCATCTTGGGCAATCTGAAACTCACCTTCTCTTTTCTTTGAGCTTCTTTAGTGGTAGATGGAAGATGATCAACCATCATTCAGAGACAAGGCTGTTGTGATTTCAAGGAGAGAAGCCCTTTGCCGTTGTATGTTTTGGTGGAGAAATGGGTGTTTCTCCTCCTCCTCCTTCAGAGAGGACTCCAGAGGAAATGAGGCAATGCTACTTGCCATCCAGCAGCTGCTATGCAGAAGATGTGGCAACCTGCTTCTGTAAAGATTACAGCCTCAGAAACTCTATGGGGCAATTCTGCTCTTGCCTATGTGACTTGGTTCACAGTCACAAGGAATGGCCCTAGCAAATACTGTCACATGATCCCTCAAAGAGATTCTGTCCCGTCTTTGACTCCAAGAAGGAGTACTGTTGAGCATCAAGAAGCTGGATGGGAAGGACACCTCTTTTGTTTAGGAAACAGAACACTGATGTTATTGTTGCAGAATTGAAACAGTCATTTATGCAAAACAGGGATGATTTCAAGTGATTGAAATTTGTTTGTTGTTGTTTTTGTTCTTGTTGCTCATTTATACTCCGTAATTCTTAAACAGTGAACATATATTTCTATATAATTAAAATAGAAAAAGCCAAATGGATATTGCAAAGTGTTTGTATAATGCTTCAGTATTTGTGCCCAGTAGACAGAAAGAATATTATTACCAAAGGAGAAGTCATCCTGATGTTCTAAAAAGGTGTTGCCATATGAGCCAAAAATCTGAGTTTGGATCTGGATCTGTTACTTTTCAGTAATTTCATAAACAATACTGAGCCTCTACAGTGTAGCAAGAACTTCACTAAACCCTGGAGAGATCTGAGAGTGATCAAAAGCAAAATGAGCTTTTGGAGTTATAGGAGGCAAATATTAGCTCACTAATAATAGACATCTTATATCAAACCCATGTTTCTATGTTACTTATGAGTTTAAGTGAAAATACATTAACTTGATCAAATATAAGCTGTTGAATTTAGCTCCCACTTTGATTTACCTCTCCCACCGAGCTGTTGGCCCACTAGATCCCAATGATAGAATGCAGCGAATGTTCACTTTCTCTTGTCACCTGAGGGGCAAGTAGGTTTCTAGGCATCCCAACTCTTTGTGGCTCTATCTAGAAGACCAGATAAAACAGGATGGAAAGATAAAAGTGTGCTTCAAATAATGAAACATTCAACTGATGCAGTCTCATAATTTTAACCATATATTCCCTTTTGTGGCTCTTTTCAGAAGCTTGTACAGCAGTTTCAAACAGATTATCCTCAGCCCTTACTGTGGTCTACACAGAGCTATGCTCATAGCAGACCATGAAGAGATGAGAGAATTAAGGCATTTAAAAAAATGAGCCTATGAAAGGTAGCTGCGAAAAAGGAAGGTTCAGATTTCCCTATGTATAGACAACACATTGTAATTTCCCAAAATAACTATGTAATTCATCCGTGGGAAATTCTCTCCCGCTGCCCCTTTTTATTTCCTTAAAGAACTCCTACTGTGTATAAACCTTGAAAAACAAAACAAAACAAAACTTTCTGAAATGGACTTAGATTATTTCTCCACTTGGAAGAGAAACAAGACATCCAGCGGCCCAAACGCTCCTTCTCTGCATCTCCTCTCCAGGCTGGGTTCTCTGGGGTAGAAGGGATGTTCCCCAGCACCCAGGGGACCCCAGCCAGGCTCTCTGCTCCTGAGAGGCCTCAGGGCACAGGAGGAGCCTGCTCACATTCTTCACTTTCAGGTCCTCTAATACAGGTTGGGAGTCCCTGATGGTGCAAATGGTTAATGCGCTCAGCTTCTAACTGAAAGGTTGGAGGCTTGAGTCCACCCAGTGGTGTCTTAGAAGAAAGGCCTGGTAATCTACTTCTGAAAAATCAACCACTGAATATCCTAAGGAGCATAGTTCTACTCTGACACACATAGGGTCACCATGAGTTAGAATCAACTCCACAGCACCTGGTAGTGCAGGCTGAAAGCCCCTCCACTCCCAGGGCACTGAGTCTTCAGGACTTAGTCACGCATAAAGGCTCAGTTGTTGACAGTAGAGGGGCAGCGTGGAGTAGTACAAAGGGAAGATGGGCCTGGGGTTTTAATTAAAGGGTGATCGATAGATGTAAGAGTGGTTAAAAACATTCTTTAAATTCTCTCAACTTCATTTTCCATAGTCCGTAAAATGAGAATACTGCCTGCCTCCTAGGGCTATGGAGAGAATTAAATGAAGAAATAAATGTAGGTAATGCATGGATAATTACTAGAGAATTTGAGAAGTCTTAATCTTGCCTGATCTCTTTACCCTTGCAATTGCTGACTTCTTACCAGCCCCCCGTGCCAAACACTCACCTTGAAACTTGACTTCTGCAGCTCTTGCAACTAGTATAATGTGGTGGATAAGAGTGACTCTAGACATTTACTGCCTGTATGACTTTGGCCAAGATGCTTAACCTCTCTGTGCCCTGATGATCTCATCTTTAAAAGTAGGCTTGCAATAGCAACTACCTCATAGGGTTGTTGTGAAGATTAGTTTATAAATATTAAGAGTCAATGGCACATGGTAGTGGGTTATCATCCCTAGAATGTAAACTCTATCAGAATAGGCATTTTCATCTATTTTGTTCCCTGATATATCCCAAGCACCCAGAATGTGTCTGGCGCATAGTCACACTCAATAAATATTTCCGGAATGATCGAATAAAATGGTCGTACTATCTTTTCTGACTGGCTTTCAAAACCCTCTATAATTTGGCGTATTTAACTTTTCCAGTCTTATTTTTTCCTCTACAACCAGCTCAGGAACATAGGTTCCCAGCAATATCAACAGATTGAATATTATTTTTAACAAATTCTGAATTTTCCTGTTTCATTTCTCATGCTCTAGCTATTTCTTCTACTTGGAATGCCTCCCCAATATCCAAGCTATTTCAGCCTCCTAACTCCTATCCATCTTCAAGGCCAGCTCAAACCACATTCACATCAATAAGTGTTTATTGAATTTAATGGACAATCTAAACTTCCAGGAGATATATCTGCTCCCCTCTACACACCCCATCTCATATAAATGTGAAGGTGCCCTCCCCACCCCCATACATGCACACAGCCACAAACATAATCCCAAAGGATCTTTGAGAGACAGGAGTCAGGATTCTCAGGGCCCTGCCATCTCAGACCCTCAGAGCCCTCCCCTGACTCAAGCTGAAACATCTTATAAGCATGTTTTGGATCACTTGAGCACCTCCTTACCCCTTTACCCAAGAAGAACTGCACAGCTGAGAGAGTATAGAGATATCTAGACACAGTGATCACACATTAAAATTCACTCTGCCTTCAGCTTGGGGAGAATGTTTTCAACATCATTTGAAATGGCCAGAGGAAATACATGGAATGTTGTATATCCAGGGCTGACTCTTGCAGCCTTGGAGGCAAAGCTTGCAGATGAAGGGAATGTGCCTGTTACCTTCTTTCTGTTCTCATCGCTCCTCTGCAGATACAAGCTCATGACTGTCCCTTCCATGGAATCTGAGTAGGGTCCTATCTGACCCCAAAGTTATAAAAGAGTATATCAAAATTTGGTGAGGAGGGGACAAGAAGACAGAGAACAGAGACATCTGAGAGGCTCTGATTCTTGCAGCAATGTGACCTCCCCTCCCCCAGAATTTGGATGAAAGGCCCTACCTACTCCATCTCTAAGGTTGGCCCTTAACTGTTAATGTGGGTTTGTTTGATCATATCCTGAATCTACTTCCACAAACAGGAGTTGCAGGGTAAGCACGGCTATGCTTGTTTTTCTGGGGAGATGGACTTTGAAGCTCTTCCCTGCCAGTGCCCGCTGCCCATACCAGGAAAGCAGTGAATTGTCTCTCAGTTCTTAGAGTTTTTCCAGCTCCTTGCAATCATGAACAGATGCATTCTGAGGGCCAGAGTCCCTCCTGCTGCTATTATACATGCTTTATTTTTTACTATGGAGAATAGATTGGAGGACAGGCTCATCGTGTCCAGAGACCTGAAGCTGTGGCTACAAAGTCACCCCAATTCCCTCTCCAGCTCTGTCTCTGTTTTATCTTTTTTTTTTTTTCTGTACTAACTACTGCTTGGATATGAATTTGATTAGTAACCTAATTAAAGCTTATGTATTTTTTTCCCTAACAAAATAGTCCTACCAATAATATGTCAACCAAAAACCAAACCCTTTGCTGTTGAGTCAATTCCGACTCATAGCAACCCTATAGGACAGAGTAGAACTGCCCCATAGGGTTTCCAAGGAGCAGATCACTTAATTGTGCTTATGAGGAACCTGTACGTAGATCAAGAGGCAGCCCTTTGAACAGAACAAGGGGATACTGCATGATTTAAAGTCAGGAAAGGTGTACATCAGGGTTGTATCTTTTCACCATATCTATTCGATCTGTATGCTGAACAAATAATCAGAGAAGCTGGAGTTTGTGAAGAGCACAGCATCAGGACTGGAGGAAGACTCATTAACAACCTGTGTTATGCAGATGACACAACCTTGCTTGCTGAAAGTGAAGAAGACTTGAAGCACTTACGGATGAAGATCAAAGACTTCAGTAATGATTACACCTCAGCATAAAGAAAACAAAAATTCTCACAACTGGACCAATAAGCAACATCATGATAAACAGAGAAAAGATTGAAGTTGTCAAGGATTTCATTTTACTTGGATCCACAATGGAAGCAGCAGTCAAGAAATCAAAAGACAAATTTCATTGGGGAAATCTTCTGCAAAAGACCTCTTTAAAATGTTGAAAAGCAAAGAAGTCTCCTTGAAGACTAAGGTGTGCCTGACCCAATCAGTAGTGTTTTCAATTGCCTCATATACATGCGAAAGCTGGACAATGAATAAGGAAGACCGAAGAAAAACGGACTCCTTTGAATTATGGTGTTGGCGAAGAATATTGAACATACTATGGACTGCCAATAGAACAAACAAATCTGTGTTGGAAGAAGTACAACCAGAATGCTCCATGGAAGCAAGGATGGTGAGACTACATCTCACATAATTTGGACATGTTATCAGGAGAGATCAGTCCCTGGAGAAGGACATCATGCTTGGTAAAGCAGAGGGTCAACGAAAAAGAGGAAGACCCTCAATGAGATGGAT